GATTTAGATACAATATGTTTCCAACATTCTTTCGTGACACTAGTGTATCATTTCCAGTGTTTGCTATTATTTCTTCTTGTAATTTTTGTGAGATACAGCGGTGTTTTCCATCCATAGTTTCACTAGTCATCCAACAGGTCTTCCAAAAGAACCGTGCCGATATACAATTACCATTATCGTGGCTAATTTAATGATTTATTGTGGTCTTGACTGATCAATCGAAGCCGATCTTAGCAAATGTTTCCACCTCTTTTTTAGATATCGATGAATGTTCGTCTGGTTCCCATAGCTGTAATGCCTACGCACAATGTACTAATGCAGTTGGAACCTACAATTGTCAATGTAACCCGGGCTATCATGGAGATGGATGGGCTTGTACAGGTATAAGCAGAGAAACATGATCTACAAGATTTGATTGGTTGGACATAGCAGTTCGATGTCATGTAATTATCAGAGAACAATTACGTAACGTTTTTATGCACTATAAAGATCATCTGAGTTGAGAAGGAAACCATGGGGGTGATCTGCAATGACAATTGCACTGCGTCGTTTACAAGTTTTTGATTGGTTGAGCATAGCAGTAATTCTGTGTAATTATCCCAGAACAATTACGTTACGTTTTTTTTCATAAAGCGAATCTTTTTCCGTAGATATCGACGAGTGCACGACAGGCTCCCATTCTTGTGATGCTAATGCACAATGTACGAATAACGTTGGTTCCCACACTTGTCAGTGTAACCATGGCTTCCACGGTGATGGATTGACGTGCTCAGGTATTTATTGACTATTGATGATTTCGACTTGTGATCCACCACTAACTGAGCATGCGCTTTTTTGTTTTTCTAGATGTTGATGAATGCTCAACAGGTGCCCATACGTGTAATGTTAATGCACAATGTACGAATACAGCGGGTTCATATAATTGTCAGTGTAACCAAGGTTTTAATGGAGATGGACGCACGTGTACAGGTAAATAATTATTATCTCATTTTATCAAACATTATTAGTTAATATCAATTACATACAATTTCACCCTGTAAATTTTATAATATCAAAGTTCCAAACATTTTTTTTAAATTATACGATTTTTCCTTTTTTAGAATAGAAATTAACTTCACTTTTTCTTTCTTTTCAAAAACTCATACATAATTAATGAGTCTGATACCTGATCATTGACCAATGTAGGATGCCAACCGATTACAGTAAAAAAACAACCGAGTTTTTGAAACTATACTTATACATTAGATGCCGATGAATGTTCGTCCGGTATCCATTCTTGTCATGCAAATGCACAGTGTACTAATACTGTTGGATCTTACACTTGCCGCTGTAACAGTGGATACCAAGGTGATGGATACAGTTGCAATGCCCGCAGTAAGTAAAACAACCCTTAATATATTGAATGATGACGATGGAAAGGACGATTATCACTTCTTATAGGTTCTTGGAATGAATACAGTCCATATTGGTGTACTCATATCTATCGCTATGGAGAACAGCTCCATTTGACCAAGGATCAGTGCAAGGCAAGGTGCACTGGGAACTGTAAGGGTATGGAATGGTGGGTACAGAATGGCTACTGCGCTTTTTGCAGCGATCCATCGAAAAGACAATTGTACACTAATACAGCTGATTTGGCCTACCCTCCTTATGTGTTGGTCAAACCTTAAAAATTGATATCTTCAAATATGTTGAGCCTTCGCGGTTCCCTGCGCCATCTTATAAGGTAACCGTTTCTTTGATTCGAAGTGATGTTGAGACGACCTACAGTGAGCCTTAACTAGACAATCATTCACAAGTATCTATCAGTGTAGACTCCTTTGTTGGCAACTCTATTTATAACTTCATTTTATCTACGAGCAGGTGACCTTTATTGTGTATTCGTTCCCAGACTTCCCTGTTAAAAGAGAGAGAAGCCTGGGGAGGAGGCTAATATCACTGTATAGTCTTTGTTTAAAATAAGTATTAGTAAATTCTTTTCTATCTGTTGAACGCTGAAAAAATATATTCTAGTAAACTACTCAGCGGAGAAGCTTATATTTATGTGATGATGAACAATTAAGAGAAACTGGATTTTATATAGTTTAATAAACGATACATTGGTGAGCCACCAAAGACAACAGCGAAAATGTATTGTCAATGCCCTTGTTTTACTGTGGTTAAGTGGCCGTTTTTTCTAAGTCAAATTCTGTCAAACTSACTTGCAGAAATGAGTTACCATTTACAAAAAGAAAAAGAAATTGTATCTCATGTTTGAGGCATAATTGATAAAATATTTGTAATAAGTGTGTGTGTGGCTACTGAWATAGTGGAAATTTTCTAGTCAACAGTCACCCACTCAGACAAATAAAATACAAAGGCACTTGGCACAAGGACAATAACTTATGAAATACAATACAATCAAAAATGGCGGTAGCTCTCGACCACCAATATCGGGAGACTAGTGACGAATCATGGAAACGAGACCTCAAAGCCCTATATCTAAAACTCACTACGAAGATATATTGCATGAGTGTCAGTTTTCAAGCTTGTAGGATGTTTTGGTATGTTATTTATAACAAAACACTATTRCAAGACACCTTCGAAGTTTACTATATGGAAACTGGYCTTTGAGACCTTGTTTTAGTACTTCGTCCCAAGTGCCCTTGCCAGCAACCGTGACATATCGCACGATTTTTGGTAGTCGTGAATTAATGATAACACAAATATGCATCTAATATACTGTCCAATAATTTGTAGAATTTCGAKCTGTCTGCTCACAAATATGTGACAAGGTCAAGATTACGTTACATTCATATTTGGCAAATTGCGTGAGCGATCACGTTGGTAACGCGCGCGATTTACGCAAGTAAACCAGTTCTGCTYAAGATTCSGTCGTGTTTGGTTGCGTCAGTTTTCTCTTTGTTTCCCCTACAACTTATATYGAAGTGAGGCTCCAGCAAACAACTACTACATCATTTTCACCCGGTCACAATTATAAATACATCGCCATGATCAATGTATAGAGTAGCTAATATGTGAAAATTAATTATTAACAATAAATGTAATTTTATTATTATCAGTTACAAACRTYAGATACTKTAAAAAGGARTTAACTGGCTAAATKTGAAGGGCGTACTTGATCTAGRGAGMGAGTAAAYTCATTTTTAGTTYYMCATACATTTYTTTGTAATTCCCGGGGTCATCCGCGAGTGACRCGCGTGAAAAATRCAAAAAAATGTATTGGGAACTCAAAATAAATTTAAACGCTCCCTAGATGAAGTACATCCTTCAAATTTGGCCAGTTAACTCCTTTTTGTAGTATCTAAAGTTTGCATTTGATGATTCGATCCGAAATTRAATTCAGCGAGARTTATTTGACATCAATTTCCCGGTCTGTCTGTTAATTTGSGACACTTTGCCTACTCGTCCAAGATGGCCRCCAAAACCGCCAACTCATCTATTGATCGAGTAGTGAATAAAATATGAACACAAATCGATTGAATRTGTTCTAATGTTGTTACTTGCAGTGCTTATACATTKCAAAAATACGTGGRGTATTTAAATTGACCATTGAGCTAAATTCGATCACATAGTTAAAAGGATTGCAGAATTAGTTGCGACCTTTAACTCGCAAACTATTGTATTGCGCTGCGTCTAGTGCCCCCCGTGTTGTGCCAACATTGTTAAAGGCGGAAGACMAGTGAAGATGTTCTTCAATGTGAAATTTACAAKGGAAAGATTTTCTTCTTGCAGATTGACTTATTCACTGAATGMATAGTAGATTGTCTTGAAGTTTCTAAAAGTCTRAAAAGTATSCAAAATGCTGCGAACATATTTCCAGCSTTTGAAAAACAATATTTCTCTCTTGAAAGACATCTCTTGACTTTAGACGCTGTTCGTATTTAACCTAYTTTAGACATAGCTCAAGGCAAAGTAGGTTATGATTTACTTCCATCTTCTCCTTGACCGTTTTAGCAAAATACATTTCTAAAGAAAGGAGAAAACAATCTCCGATCAAATAGTATTGATCAATTAGCAACTTCTCACTACTGGTTAACTTTAAACTACTGAGCTGAAATCTGAAGAAAGTCCAAGTTGATCAAGAATGTTTAAAGCTGAGACGGTCACTATGAAAGGGCGTTACAAAGAGGTACTGTTTCAGTTGCTACAAGTCGTTGTGACGAGTGGAGCTAGCAAAATGAAGTTATTGCATGTCTTTTTCTTGGTTTTATCTGCTGTATTCTCTGCAAAAGGTATTAACCGATTGTTTTTTGCTTTTTTAATTAACAAGTACAACAATTTGAGGCCTTTAAAAGTGTAAACTTCACCAAAAAATACATTCTTTGGAATCGTTTTTTTCAAAATAATGTTATACTTTTGCACATCATAGAAACTCTTTAGTGTCAACAAAAGTCATTTTTTACTATATTTACATTCGTATTTTTTAGGAGTTCAACATGGAACTCTTCGCATCGGCCAGAAAAACCCTGATAATTACTACTGCGATACTGTCACCTTCCCAACAGCCTTCACRGGAGTTGATCCTGTCAAAGTCTTTACGTCAGTTGGTTTTGGCACGAGCTCATCACGTGTACATGACGTAGTGTTCACGTGGGTCGAGTCTGTCACTACAAGTAGTTTTAAAGTCTGTCTGGTAGAGAATGGCGCTGGATCAAGTGGCAATGTGACTATTAATTGGATGGCTTATCAAGGCGTCCAGTCTGGTGTGGCGGACGGCTCTGTGAGGTTGAACGACTGGACGACGGGAACGGAGTGCAAACACGTTCGTCTTTCCCAGGTAAACTATTCTTTTTTCATTTTCTTCTTTTCGAGTGTTCATGTCAAAATGTGCTCCTGTTTCCTTTCTGTTATTCTAGTTTTCTTTTATTGTTGTGTATTTTTGTTGTGTTTTGATTTTGTTTCAATTTTCCTCACATCCCATTAATTCTATTTTTATTTTGCTATATTTTATTTTTTTTAAATATTTTCTTTATGATTTACTAAATTCATATTCTACAAATGCCCTACAACTCGTGGCTCAATTAGATCGACTGGAAATTACAAGAGACTATTTATGCACTAAGTATATAAATCAAATGAAGTCTCCACAACATCCCATACATCATCTTCTACCCAGACCTGCACTTAACGAATTTTAAAACGTTTAATATAATGAGGAGCTTGCCAAATTTTTACCTGTACAATTCTATGACACAATGCAGCTCTAAGGGAACAGAGAGGGTTTTTTTTACATTCCGACACTTTTTTAAACCATATAAATTACATGTGTATGCCTTATTCCTTCTTTTTTTTTCTGATATAGTTTTTAATAATTTGTAAATAGCAATTTTATCATTTATACTAGAATCCGTGCTGTAATTTTTATTTTTTAATTAAGTTCCTTACTGAAAGAGTCAACTGTTCATTCAAAAAATCCTTTCATTTCTTTTATTTTCGCCAGGCCTTTGCAAGTGTTCCCCACGTCTTTGTTACTGCACTTCACAATGTGTTGGACAACAAGCATGATGCAGCTACAGTTTGGGTGGAAGGAATCACTAGAAACGATTTTACTGTTTGCATGAGAGAAGCGAGAACCTTTGATGGACGCCATAAAGACATCGATGTGGTACGATTGCAGTGAATTAATGAATTTATAACTGATTCCGTTAAAACAACATCCTCTAAAGGGTGCATTATGTCTTCTTTGATTTTCATAGGTTCACTGATATCAGGACACCTCTGTGGTCTATTGTTGTTGATTAGTTCATTATCAAAAATGACGATTTTTTCGCACGTCTGAAAATCGCTTATAGTCTTTCGGATGAACTTGAGTTTCGTTATCTCTAAAATATTTRAWTTTTATTCTGTTGTAGACTTGGATGGCAATGACTGAAGTTCCCCAGACATGGAATTATCATGACTTTATCAGAGTAGACTTTCCAAACACTCTTGTACCAAGCGAGGCTGACAATGATGCGTTTTGCCAGGTAAACCAGAAACTAGTTGTAGCATGTCATCAAAATCTGAGTGTGAGTAGGTCTAGTGCTTATGATATTGTCTACAAATACCTTTGT